CAGTCTTTCATTTTAATTTCTTAGGCATTATGATACCAACTTTATGTATATAACCACTGAACAATCGATAATCCGGCTGATTTCGATAATGTGCCAAAGTAAGAACAATTCGAATGCGAAGAAATTGTGCAATTGAATTAAAGTAATGACGTTCCATGGAAATGCGAGAAGAGGCCCGATAAAATTAAAAACTGTAAACTCAAGATTATTAAAACACACATTCGATTGATTTTAGTGCGATGGTGAGAGGGAGGTCTTCGAGTGGATTTGAATGGAATGACGAGAGGAATTTGGATCGGTTGTGCCGAAATTGATTTTCAAGCCCTCTTTCTCTCTATCTTTCATCGAAACTACTGTGTAAGATGGAATTTGCAATGTGTGTAATTGATAAGTGCCAAAAGAAAGCTGATTCAGCGCACACTCTCATAAGAAGGATTGCGTAATTCGGCATGAGTGCGTTACTGTGTGTGTGTATGTGTGATTGTTTGACATTTGCTGGCGAATGACGTAACCCTAATAGCGTTGCTTTTTATTTCTATTTCACTATACACATTTCTTGATACAAAACGTGCGCGCATATCCATAAAAATAATTAGGAAAATTCTTATTGCCCTTTTAGTGAAAACGAGTTCCGTGTGATGTGGCTGCTTTTCATATTTAAGGCCGGAAGTTCGTAAAATTCAATTTATAACTATTATGAATTTTAATGGATGAGGTTTGGCTTCGTTGGAATTTTCCACAGTTGCCGCCGCGCACATTGGCCACCGAGTAAATGGCAAAATTTATTTGAAATCTGAAATTATATCGCTTGCTCGCAAATGACGATTGGTATTGGCATTTTCGATTCAATTGATGGTGGTTTCGCTTCGCAACGTTTCGTGACGAAAGAATGGAATGGTGATTGGTTTTGAATGGATCTCAGATGGTGAACAATCACTCTATACATACACATGCACACAAACAAAAACATACACATACTCATTCGCATTCGCTCATTAGTGAAACTCTCTTTGCCAAACATTATGCTACTTCGTGCTCAAATAAACATCCAACACAAATGTGTGGTAAACGTTCTCTGTGTATGTTCTTTGAATGCAGCACTCTCGAAAATCTATCTAACCATCGAAAATGTGTGTGATACCCACTTCGCATGTTGCGCTCTCCCCAGCTCAATCGCTCTATCTACATGTTATTCTCCCTCTCTTCTTCTGCACGTACCTGTCTATCTCTCATCGTTATTTAGTGTGTTAAACACACTGTGTTTTATTCGAAATTTGATTAAACACACATTTCTTTCCGGCCGTTCTTTTGCTTTCATCTTTTGTCTTTGCGGTGTGCGAATTCGCCACATTGAATGAAATACATTGAAAATAGCGTCGAGAAACAGAACCCATCGATTTTCGAAAGGTAAAAGCAAACGATGCATGTAATTGTACGAGAGAACATACATAAACACACACACACACACACATACACATCCAGCGTGAGGCCGTGTGTTGTGTTCAGCGCCGATGGTGGCAGCATTGACGCTTCAATGTATATATTACAAATTAGATTCGGATCGCGTCAAGTCATTAGAAAAGTTTGTACAGATTTTGAATACCGTCAGGGGCCAATGTTTTAATTTAGTTTTGCCACATTTTAGCTTATTTCACAGAATTCTTTTCGCTTCTTGCTTCTTCTTCTCTTTTTTTTCTCTCCTCTGGCTCTATGGTGTGCTTTCTGCTTTTGGTGGCGCATTTTCTCATTTTCATTTATGTTAGTTAGTGTTCATTTTGTGTTGTTCCGATTTTAATTATTTTGTGCTTGACTGCGATGCCAGTTAATTTGGACAGTTTCAATGGTATTTTGAAGTTCAATGCTGTGCAATATGCTTCTAATCGAGGGCTGTTTTTCGCGTGTGTTTTTTTTCTTTCGTTCGCTACCCATTTTTTGTGCCCATTTTTTTTTTCTTCATTATTCAATATGTTTCTTTGTTTTGAATTTTTGGCGTTTCGAATTACGAAAACTTGTCCAGAAGTTTTCCGTTTTATACATGTTGTGTTGCCGGAGCCCGACAAAAATGCCTTTTCACGAAGGTGTACTGGCGCAGGCAAAACGAATGCCACATTTTTTTTGTACAAAAAGTGAATTCCATACAATGGCCGGAAAATTCATTTTCTTTATGGCAGCCATAAGAATGGCAATAATATCATCGATTCGGTACACATAATTGCTTGTGCCGTTGTAATTTCTAGTTGCGGAATGCAAACGCAACAAAAGTCCCTTATTCTCATATTTCGAAATGGATTTGATTCGGCTTTTGTTTAAACCCAAACGGAATCCACCCCATCTCCCAATGCGGTGCGATACAATAAGTTTTCCCTAAACCTGAAATTGTCATTCCAATTGAATTCTATTTGGAAAGACAAAGACAAAGAGAAAGAGAAAGAGAGAGAGAGAGAGAGAGAGAGAGAGAGAGAGAGAGAGAGAAAGAGAAAGAGAGAGAGCGGTTCATTGCCGTTCTCTTTCTTTTTTCGGGTTTAGCGTGCACAAAACAAAGGGTGCGAATGCGAAAGAGCATCGGTGAATGTTGCTGCATTGTGACTGTCGTCCTCCTCCTCCACTTTCTCATCGTCGTCGTCGATTATTGTAGTTAGAAACCATATTGTTTGTATCACGAAGCACAAAATAAGCGTCACGTATACTTTGTGTCACATCCGTAGATGATCCGAATCCACTTTTCGAAGGGCCCCCCTGAAGACCATGAGATTGCGTGTTTTTTGTAATTATTTCATGTACACCTTAATTACATTTACAACGTTAATAAATATTGCTGTTTCTCCTTTTGTTGTGTGTGTGTGCTCGCTACTTTTGGAATATGACATCAGAGAAAAGTTGAGAGCAACACATAAAACACACTTCGTGTTGTTTGTGGATTAAGCGTGCAATGCATGTACTAAATGGTAGTATGAGTATGCGATACGATGGTATTTTTGGGGTGCTTGGTGTACTATTATATATATATGTTACTGTTGCGTTTTGCCGTTACGCTTTTTGCTCTATTCCACAATGCTAATGGATGATTGGAGTGAACGAACGAGCGTGTGGGAGCAAGAACACCCATGTTTATCACCTCCATCAAAAATTATTTAATCTAAGGCTACCGCAACTTTGGCCTTAGTCTTTCATTTTGTCATATATATTTTTTTTGTGTTACTGTTCGGTGCTCAAGCTTTTGAATGAGATTGTGTGTGACTTTTTCTATTCCCTTCTCGCCTCGTTCCCAGCAACGCTCCTTATTATACCAAGCACCACTGAAAATCGACATAAAAAAAACGAGGACGAAATGAAACATCGTCACCATATCTCATTCTTCCTCTCGATCGATTCGATATCGCTCTCTTTATATAAATCCGAAATGAAAACAGCAGCTCCCCTATTTTCTACTTTGGCCAAATTATTTGTATCAGGTGTACTTCACTTGTAACTGAATGTTTTTATGTGTGACGCTCATCGACGACCATAAAGAAAAAAACGAAACGAAAAAAAGTAGCGAAGCATTTATATCATCCTCCTGCATTTAGTACTTTATGTAGAAAGTAAGTTGGCATTTTTACTGTCATTGCCATTGCTCTGCATATTCCCCGCTAGAATGTGCTTGTGCATGAGAGGGACTAACCGCGATGGATATTAAACCTCCATCCATACCGAATTCTATGCACGTTGTCTGTCTCATTCTTCGTCTTTCTCGGGAATGGTGGAATTTTTAAGCTACCAAAACGACCCACTGGTGGTGTGGGCTGTAAAAAGTATCTAAAACACAGTTGTAGACTATAATTTCACATGCTTTCGTGTAATTTGCAGCCAATTGTGTGTATGGGTTCTATTTTTTTTCCTGCCAAGTCACGGTGAAACTGCCTCAAAACACACCATATACCGTATATGTATACGTTATTGTGCTGGTGTCGGTCGGCACCAAGATCGAAATGAGCAAAAACAATTTTTTTTTATTTTCCGCAGCGAAAAGTTTAAATGAAATTTCAAGTAGCGTATTTTACCAATTCAAACAATGGTCGCTTTGAATTCGCACACTCTATTCACACTGCGTGCGCTATTTTCAATTTCAGGCGATTTTGTGATGATAGTAAAATGGTAGATCTATATCCGTGCTACATTATTTAAAAGAGCTTTTTCGCATGAAAATTTCCACTGAAATGATTACAACTTGGTAAATTGAATTAGATGAGGCTGTTTGACCATTACGCAGAAAATGCGCTGCGGCGGCAGCTGCCAATGTCACTGTGTATGTGTATGTGTGTGTGTGTGTGTGTGTGTGTGTCGAGTGGAGTGGAGGGATACGTTCGCATATTAACGCTATAGTTGTCATGGCAGTTCATTGAAAATGTTGCATTTTCCAAATGACGATTTTCATTTTGGATTATGGTGCTGTAAATATGGAAACGTTCACGGTGTCTACTCTGGGTATTTTTCTTTTCATATGACACCGCAAATAACCATCTACTAAATTGCATGTTGTGAAAAGAAGAATAAGCAGAAGCAAAGGAAAAAAGTATAATTAAGGCGCATAAACAACGAATATCAGCTTATGCAGTTCACTTATTCATTTTCTTGTTTCAAAATCAGGTGATTCATAGTCGAAATTGAAATAGCTTCATGTAAATGTGGCACACACACACTCACACTGCGTTAAAACGGCGTTAGTGTGCATGTTTGTGGTCACATAACAAGCATTTACTTTGTGAATTAGAATTTGTTTTTGTCTTTGTCGTTGTTGTTTACGTCGGTTTATTCCGTTTCGAAGGGATTTATTCCGTTGGCTACAGTGTCATGGACACCAGTTGTCATAAGCGAAAAAAATGTCATTTCTTTTTATTTCGGGTGAGAGTTCAAATGGGACGAAAAACCGATTTTCGTTGAGTTTTCTGTTCTTCATTTTAATTTTTATTTTTGGGATTGTCTTTTTTTATTTAAAAAAAGAAAAAAAAAACTGAACTCACCTTGACAGCTATATCCATTCTTATTTAATTCATATCCTTCTGTGCAGTCACATTCAAATGTTCCATCGTGCAGCTCGAAACAGACCTGGACCATTGAAAAAAAAAACACAAATTAATACAGGAACATAAAATCGATAAGTTCAAAGCAACGAAAGTGAAAACAAAAGAAAAAATGAATATCACTTTGTTTAACAAATTATTACCTGGTCACATGGACTTCCATGACCGCAACGACCTGTCAACACAAAACACATTTTTATTTAATCAATACTAATTGATGGAATGAAAACAGAAAAAATATCGAAAGAATTTAATGATTGTTATTCCATTAAGATTTTGATGTATTATTTTGGAATTTTAGACACTTTTATGGTCAATTTATTTGGTCTGAATAATCCACATAGTGCACAACATAAGCGATGGATTAGATATAGATTGTTAGTGTGTTAGAAAGGGGATGAGAAACCAAAACAGGAAAAAACAAATCATCATTTCTGCAATAAAACCAAATGGTTCGTTCAATATTTATGTAAGAATAAATAGGGCTTGAATTAAATAAACGTCACGTTGAAGCTGAAACCAATTTCATTGTATGAAAGATTTTCATCAAGCTCCACTCTTCTCCGGGCGCTAAGTTCAATTTTGCACAGTTCAAAAATTTGTGAATAGCAAAATTGATGTTTCCGCTGTGCACAGCATTTCCACAGACAGTTTTATTACAATGTAACCGAAAACGGCGAATGCATATTACGTCGTTACGAATGGTCTGTCGTTTGCAGCATTCGAATGAAATGAGCTAAACTGCGTTAAATGGGGCAATATTTACAAATACAAATATTGAATCACAAGCATCGTAATCTCGTGGAATTGTTTCTTCAATGGACGACGAAACCAAAAGCAATTATCGTCCGAAGCAAAAGTCGCTGTTTGCGTTCCCTTTCTCCCTTTCTCTCTCTCTCTCTCTCTCTCTCTCTCTCTCTCTCTCTTTCCCGCTCTCTCACGCACTCGGCAACAAACAAATGCTTCAATTTAAAATTCATTTTGATCACGCTCCGCAAGAATGTTCATCAAAATCACTTGAAAATTTCGCCCATTTCGTGTGCATTGCCACTCGCAATGAACTTGTTATTTTCCCAGAGTTCCTGGAACTGTCGAGGAAAAATGTTGCATTCGTTAAGGACTGGCCTATAAAATGGGCTAAAACTATGTGAAAGATTCAGAACGGAATGCACTCCAATGCAATCGGTAGAGTGTGTGTGTGTGTGTGTACAGTGTACAGTGTACACAGACGTCGTCCACGAATTGTGCACCAAGCACACAGAAACACCAAATTTGCAATTGCAATGGCCAAAAAATATTTTACAGATTTATTTATTCGCCGTTAACCATACGGTTTCGGCACGATGATGAGGTACATTTGCAACCGGCAATGCCAAAAACCAATGCATATTCAAATGAAACATTCATTATTCACTTTGGAAATTCGCCTGCGATGGACGGAGAATGGGGAATCATTGTGAGTGATTTGAAAATAAGGCGCATGAAAGCGCACACACCATTTGGCCAACACAAGCCATTTCGTTCGGCAATTGCAAGTGTGCCTGGGATTTTTGGCAAACAAAATTCTCGGTCGTTCGTTCACTAGCGTCCGCGCCAGCCATTTGCCGTGGCATTTTTGGTGTAATAATGTACCTTTGGTGCTAAAAAGTAGACAACAACAATTACATTTTACGAAATGCAAATATACCGACTCGGAAAAAGCCTCGAATGCGGTGAAGTATAAACCGAAGAATTATTTTATTTGGAGAAACTGTTGCATAACTTAAACCAAAAATAAACGCCGTGCTATGATGAAGGCAAATGTATACTTTGATTTTGAGCGGTGGTAAAATCGGTACAGAGTGCATAAAATAGTGTGTAATGTCGAGGTTTTCGTCGCGTTTTGGCTCTCTCTCCCTCTCTTACTCTCTCGTTTTCGATCTTTCACTCACGTTCGCTTCGTGCTGTTGTGGCGATGCGTTACCATTTCATACAGTTCAACCGAATAGAGAGCAGCACCTTTTGTTTCCAAGGGGAAATCATTTCAGTCTAATGAATCTAATGCGGCATAATTTCATAAAATTCAAAGTAAAGCCCAAAAAGTACACCGGTTAATGCAATCTGATGCCAGTCAATGTGCTTCACTTGCGCCTCCTTACTATTGACTCCGTACATTTTCCATCCTTTTTTTTAACGCTCTCTTCGTCGTGGTCCACGACTCGTGGAGGGTGCGCTACCTCAAATGTTGAAGCTAGCACTGAAACATTCACTTGCATTACGTGGCATTAATTTTACGGTTTGAGCGACATTCGAAATTTTTCTCAAAATATTCGGTGCATTAGATACCAATTTGCTCTTCCCCCGTGACCATTTTGACATGATGGCATTTGATTTTAATTGCAACAACCTTTCACGCATGGAGTTAATGGGAATAGAAAGTATGTGGCAACTTTTCGAGCACATCGAATCATAATTTGATGTTGGAACAACAGCGACGATGACAGCGCTTGTGTGTTCGTTATTAATAATCGAACCGAAATGTATTGCACAATTGTTGCCATTCGCAACAGTCGCCCAATCGAATGGAAACAATGTGTGTATGTGTGTGTGCGTGAGACGACAAAAGGCAATAGAAAACAATGGAGCATCGTTGTTGCAACATCAAACGACAATTGACGATTGCGTAGACAATAGCGGAAATCAATTAACACCTGTTTCAACTGTGTTTCAAAGCGATCACTTCGCTTCTATTTTTCTTTCATTCTTTCTTTTCACATATTTCCGGAACTAGAAGCGACACTCGACAACAAACGAATATCGGAAATAGCGAGGTTTTGCCACTTGTCATTTACACACATGAACAAAGTCAAGGCTGACGACACTGTAGAACAGAAGGCAAAACAGAACCACAAAAAACGGTGGAAAAAAGATTGAATTGGGGCTCATGCCACTTGACAATTCGAAATGCACGTAGTTTCGAGTGTTATGAATGGTAGCAGCAGAAGCGTCATTCACCCATTTGCCATTTAACAAGAAGCATTACAAATGCCAATTCATCGAACATTGATCCGGCAAATCCTTTTGCAAAATCAATAGCTTAATGAATTGCACCACGGTAACAAACTCTCGAAAACTAAGCATCCTTAACAAGCAATGACGTCTCCAATTACAGTACAGAAAGTCGAACCGAACCATTGTACTGCTCGGAAAACTCCCGCTGTTTCATGAGAAATATGAATTCAATACGCTTGTCTCGCAAAATACAAGAAAAATGACAGAAACATAAAACGAAAACCCAAACAAACCGTTAACGGAAAGAAGATACAATTCATTTTCAAGAGCTTAGTATTGATTTTGCTATTGAAAGCGTTCGTTATGCTTTAAAGAGTTGAGAGACGACGACGACGATGGTATTTGTGCACATACAGTTTATGAATTACGTGTGATTATTGTTTTGAACGAAGATTATTATGATTATCTAGCATTTATGCAATGTCGAGCATTCACCACCATAAATAAGACATATTTAGTAGCAACTGCTTTTTTTCTATCGCTCTAAAGTACTTATAGTACGATGCCAGTTGCCAACTGCCATTGCAATAAATGAGAAATTCAGTCGCGTTTACCACAAATGTGGTCGCTACACTTTTTCTTTTTCGCTCCGATTTTTTTTGCACACATTTTTTCCTTCTTTTTTCATTACGTTTCATGCATTTCTCGTTGCATTTAGTATCGTCTTTGTGTTATTGCTTATGTCAATCCCTGAGATTTGAGATTTAGTGAACAAAAACAACGTGCTGAGAGAGAAAGCGCTCGTCATAACACGGAAAAGCGTCGAATGTACTAACATGCATGCACCACTTCTGCATTCTTTGACTGTTCTCTCTTTCTCTCCCACTCAGCCTTCATTCACATTCTTTGGCTGCAAGTGGAAATAGAACTGTGAGTAAAGAAAAGTGCAGACGACATGAGAGAAAAAAAAACGAACTTTGTGCCGAAGAACAATGTCATTACTTCAAATGCATATGCGTTTCGAAAAAGCAATGCCATGCATTTGCCTCTGTGTAATTTTTTCCCTTAGTCGGCAAAAGAAACGATAGATTGGGAGAAAGAGAAAGAAGAATAAAATCCACATTCTTCTATTTTAAATTAGCAAAGGATATACATGTCGTGGTTTTAGTATTATGTTTTATTTTATTTTTGTTTGAAAATTACTTAATTCAATTCGTTGCGTTTTTTTCAACGTTCCCTTTCTCTCTATTCGTTGTTTGTAGTTTTGCAGAATGTTGAAAACTGTTGGAAAACTAAAAGCGCAAAGCAACGGAAAAAAATGCAACGACGACGACAACAGCGACAGAGACAACGACGACAACAACGAAGTACAACGAACAGTTGAGCGGATTGTCTACAGTGGAATTTATGCCACAGTGAAATAAATTATTCGCTCTTTTCTTTGCGTACGAACATTGTTATTCTGCTATGCTAATGCAGGCGATCTTACAATGTTACAGACGTACCAAAAGGGATAATGCAATGGAAGCCAACATATACACCCTCGCCTCAGACTTTGCTCGCATACAAGCAGCGTGAAACGGGAAATATGAAAAGAAAGAAAAAAAATCAATTCCGCTGCACTCTTTTTGTTGTCTAATAGAATTTGGCCGTTAGTTTCGATTTTGTAAAATTTTTGGTCAGTTTTGCTTCATGAATTTCAAGCGAAACACAAAATCGAATACACACACATACAGAGAAGGGAAACGCCGAATCCATGATGAAAACAAGATTTCAAAGCCGGCAAACGTGAAGAGAGAGAGAGAGAGAGAGAGAGAGAGAGAGAGAGAGAGAGAGAAGGCAGAGCATAAAGGAAGGGAACAAAAAAGAGAGAGATTTGAGCAGCTCGACAAAACTCCACGAACAAATAAGAATCGTTTCACTTGAAGCGGCAAATAATTTTGCTAGTGGCCCGAAAACTATTAGACCGACTTTTCTTTTCGTCGTTCAGAGCCAAAGTGAAACGATTTAAGTTTGTTAACTATACTGGCAACGCAGAGCAGAGGAAAAAAAATACACAAATTCGAAACTTTGACCAAGAAAGAAAAGTATTATTCGTTTGAATTCTCGTCTTGTTCTCGTTGCCGAAGTCAGGCGCGCGTTTTCTTATTTAGTGAACGAGGCAAACAAAAAATAAATAGTTGA